CATATAAAATTTCAAAAGAAAAAGAGATGTTATACAAAAATTAAAGCATTTCAGTGCTTAGAACAAATTGAAGTGCTCTTAGAAGTATTACAAAACAACTTTGGCTTTCTCATCAAATTATTATTATTATTATTATTATTATTATTATTATTATTATTACTGATAATGCACCACACTTGTTTTTGTTTTTATGTATTATCTGATTAGATTTTCAAAATTAAAGTTCATATTGACTCTACAATTTTGAGAAAATTACATTAACCAAGAAAGCTCATTCTATGTAAATAGTTTGTTTGGATGCAGAAATATTTGGGAACTACTCCAAAATCAGTTCTTTTTACCACTACACAGTAACAGACGTATAAATACGTTTTACACCAATAAAACATTTAGTGTTAGTTCTCCCTTCCATTGTGCTGCACCATATTCTGGGAGCCGGCGTTGGTGTCGTCCGGGGCGCGGAAGGGCGAGGCCGTGCGCGCCCAGCGTTTGAGCCGACTGAGGGCGGCGCGAGCCATCGAAGACGAGGCGAGGAGCTCCGTGCAGAGGGCGATCCCCGAGACAGCCAGCCCGGCGCCCAGCAGCTGCAGAGGCGGTACCATGTCCTGCAGGCGGAGCGACGACCCCTCCGCTTCCTACGAGCAGCACGCAGCACGAGCCACTCGTCTCCTAAGCATTCGAGGGTTAAATGATGCAAGGAGACGGGGTACAATTGAGCAGCGAGAAGAATCACTTAGGGATGATCATGCTGCAATGAGAAGGGTATGGACCCTACAAAGGTGAGGATAATTACAACTAAATTGTATTGCCTATATTTGAAACATATTTTATAAATATAAAGGTTTATTTCTCGCCTCAAATACGTATATCGGTATAATCGATGTAATCGGTATATCGGTATCATCGGTATAATACGTATGTATTCGTATTTCAGACATTAAACATGACTGCAAAATATAACTGGTACATGTACATCTTATATATCACATATGCAAACATTTTACAACTTTGGAGGTTTACTTCTAACGCTAGCGCTAAACCGTTCAGAGGATTGTCTCCTAAATTGATATCCCGCAATAAATTTGGGCTGATATCGCGGCTTCTTGAATTTCAAACCCAAACTTCAATTTTGGGGGTACTTTATATGAAACTTATGGGAAATTTTCAAAAATTTCAAAACAATGGCTCCATTGTTTTTGATTAAATTTTGTTGTTGGATAACGCGAAGAAGTTTAACAAAATGGTGCAAGTCTCATTTCCCTTGAAAACGCTAATATTTGAAAGTTGAAAACTGCAAACTTTTTTCGGCGTCTTCTTTTAACTACAATTATGATGATAGAGATATATTTTGAAAGAAGGTAATGTACAATTGATACTAATAAAAGTGAATTTAACGTCGTGTAGTTGACATCGATTCCACAAAGACGGTTGAATGAGTAGATACGAAAAATATAAAGGCTCTTCTTCAGGATAATATGCAGTGTCCTTGCAAAGTTTTGTAAAGATTGATACACAATAATTTAAATAATATACTGGAAGATGCACCACGATCATTGTTTCTTGCCTGTCGCTAAGAGACAGATTCCTAATATATTCAGCCAGTGGCCAGCAGCAGACGTCCATTAAGCGGCGAAGTCTTTTTCGAAAACCACATTTTCTCTATACCCAGAATTTCGGGCTAATTTATTGCTTTCAAAAAGAGAGATACAGACCCTGGGAGACAGGGGGACTGGGACAAAAAGACAAGCAGACATACCGAGACAGACTCACTCTGACAGACAGATTAAAACAGATTAAGGGCCGGTTTCACCAAATAAAGATTAAGGGTTTACTCTGGAGTAAATCATGTTTACTCGAGAGTAACTTCTTGGAGCGTTTTCACTAACACTTTACTCGAGTGTAAATCGCTTACACGAGAGTAAATTCGAGATTAACTTTACACTGAGAAATCCGTCGGGTAAAGTACGGAGTAAATTCAGTTTTCAACGTGCATGTATGTACCTCCGAAGTGTTGTTACGGCTCGACGATTACGAATGATGGTATTTGAAGATGATTCCAGCAATGATTCGGAATATTATTCACTAGTGCGAAGGCAAAGGGTGTGCGAGAGAATGGATTGGTTTTAATTATGACGATCGAGATTTTGTTACGAGGTTATGTTTGACCAAATTAGGTGTTAACTTTATCAGACACATTGTAAACTGTAGAGAACTTGTAAATTTATTTTTCGCCCATGAGGATACAAAATAAAGCTATTACGTACCGTATACGATAAAAGGAAAAATAATAACTACAGGGACTACAAGTACTAAGAAAAATTTATTTATTTATTTAGTAAAAACTGTATGTGACGTATGGGGGAGATCATTTGCGTACGTTTTTTTTTCAGTTCCAGAATCCCTTTCCAACATTTTTACTATAAATAGTTCAAAGGTGAATATAAGTTTAAAAAATAAAACAAATAAAAATAATAATAAATTTTAGAAAAACGCGAGATCAGCAACATTTGAAAAACTAAACATTTTCGTTCCCAAGTTATAGAAAATTTATTTGCATCGCCATCGGTAAACGAACTGCAAATTTGATTTTCCTGCATTTCTAACAAAATAGTAACTCATCTCCAGAGAAGAAAAATTAACATTTATTAAGAAATAAAGTTACAAAAACTAAGAAATAAACTATGCCAACACAAATCACGATAACACCGCACAAGATAATAACGTCAAGAACTTCGAAACTGAAATGAATGATAGAATATAAGGAATTAATCAAGGTTCGCGTTGGTCAGCAGTGGTTCCCAGCGTCACTCTCGCTCGCAGCCTCTTGAATCGCTCTCAAATATTGCGCGTTCAGCTGATTCGCGGAGTAAATTGGAGAGTATGTACTCTAGTAAAATAACCCTCCACAAGCGTGGTGAAACGATTATATTCTACTCAAGAGTTACTATCTTAGAGTAAATGCTTACTCTCGGGTAACTACTCTCAACTTTACTCGGCTGTTGGTAAAACAGAGAAACAGACAGAAACAGTCAGGCCGATACAGACATAGAGACAGGCAGAGAGCAGTCAGACAGAGGGAAAGACGGAGAGATGAAAGGATAAACAGGGAGGGAGATGGAGAGCAGGACGTCTGCCGAGTTCCGATAGTTTTTGATAAATTTGAGAATTTTTCGCGAAAGTTTGGGTGAAATATAGGACATTTTTAATTTTGTTTAAACATTTTTTCTCGGCGCCAACAATTTTGATAAAAATTCAACCTCAAATTGCGTAAATAATAATTAGGAGACTTGTGCAGATCTCATGTTCATTAAAAATTCTGATTTTTGAAAATTGCAGAAAATGAAATTTTTTCGGCATCTTCCTACAAATATTATGATATACATTTTTTCTTACTGTATATCATCAAAAAGTATTGATCGAAATGAAAAATGTTCATCCAAAACAGACCTTAAAATATTGTGATTTTCAATTTTTCGAAAATACGATTAGTTTTCGCGAAATTTTGTGTCAAACATAGACAAGTTTTGTTTTATTAAACGATTTTTTCTTAAGATCTGCACTATTTTTTAAACTAAATTTTGTCCTTAGTTAACAGAACTGACGCTTAAGAGAATGGTGCAGGTCTCATGTTCGCTAAAAGGCGTGATTTTTTGAAATTTGAAAAAATTAAGAAAATTTTGGCGTGTTTATACAACTAGATTGTGAAGATACTTTTTCAACACTCCGTAATGAAATGTATTCATCTAAAATAGATCTTTATATATGGCCAAGTTGAATATTTAAAAAATATAAGTATTTTTTTCTATAATTTGGTGTTAAGCTTATGCTCCCGCTTCGAATTTCCTGTGCTTCGTGAACATAATTTTAGAGATGTTTGGAAGCTATTGCTATTCTTATAAAAAAGTAGTTTACAGGATAGTAAACAATTTAATTTTGAACTAACAAATTACTTCTTTGCTTCAAAGAATTTTGATAGCTGATTTTGGTTTGTTTAATTTGTAAACGTAAGACATGACTACTGTTCCTGGGTATCGAAATAATCGCAGGTATGCACTACAGGCGCTTCGTTTGAATTGATTGGGTTTGAACTGTATTAGAATTATTTCAAATACTTTACATGAAAGAAAAATTGAAAAATTTGAGTACCATAAATTTGTACAAAAATGTTACCTTTCTGATTTCACATTACCACCTGCGGTCTTGGAAAGCAATGTATGTTAGAAATTTGAGAAGTTCATTTTAGATCAGCGACAATGAAGACAATAAAATGTCTTGAATTCTTCTCTTTGTTGAACTTCGATATGAAACCATCATGGGGCTGTATATTCGAATGTAGAAAAGAAAGATTGCGTTTAATATTATTTAAACATTTTATGGCAAATAAAGTAGAGTAAATAAATAGAACTCAAGGAGAACATACGCATAAGTGGGACGGCAGAGCCCCTTACAGATAAAAAGCTATGTACAAACAAAGTAGTGACAACGATAATCTGCCTTTACGAGGGTCGCCTTGGCGCCGAACACATCGTACATTAGTATGTTCCAGTCATTGCATCAGATGGGACGTTTTGCGTTGTTAGATATTGGCGTGAGGAAATAACAAGAATCCATTATCAGGCTTAGGAGGGGAATAGTATTGCTCATTATTATTCGGAGTTATAACAAAGTTATGGTTAATTGTAAAACACGAATTTTTCCAAAACGGCTTCACATTTTCCTTTAAACTTTTGACATTTATGGTGCTACATATACTTTATGTGATAATATAAACATCAGTTTGCCTTTTGCTTTAAAAAAGTATAAAAATGTATTTTTTTCACTTGTGTCTGACGTCGTTTATATTTACATTAGCGGCGATTTGTTCACATTTTTATATTTATGAATACATGTGCCTTAAATTATACCATATACAGTTTCTCTAAATCTCAACAGTTTTCTATGAACAACGGCTCAAATTTCTGCATTTTCTAGAAATCCTCAAACGTCATTCTTTCAAAAACAGCTCAAAATTTTTTCTTCAAAATTTTTGAATAGAACTATTGAACTATTTGAAATGACGTAAGGTTCATTTCGGGGTATGTTTTCCTTTTTTCAAAAATTACACAAATGTAAATTTTTTCACAGATATGCCACACCGTTAATATCCATGTTTCCAGCAATTTGTAAGCACTATTGTATTTGTGAGTGAATGTGACTTAAATAACTTCTAATGAAGTTTTTCGAAAACTCCAGACTGTTCTGTGAACAACAACTTCAAATTGTGAATTTACAGCTTAAGCACCATTTTCTTACAAACGGTTCCAAAAGTTTTCAAAGAAAATTGCAATTTAAAAAGCTGTTTCAGTGTCCTTTTATATTCATAAAATATTCCCGTTCTACTATTAGGAAACCGAAAAAATAAGAAAATTTCAAAAAATGTACTTGATGCGGCGATAGATGGCAGCTAGCAAGAGTATGTGACCAGTTCGTATAGCTTGTCGAGAAACGAAATAGGAAACTAACACGGGAAAATATGTATCATTCTGTAGCACCACTCGTTATATTATACGATTTTCTTAGATGGATTGATATGTTTTGGGACCCTCAATATTCGACTGCTTGTACCATCAATTCGAAGTGAACTTTGTATATTTTT